CCAGCATCCTCTCTGCCTATCCTCCATGCCTGGAATGCTCTCCCTGTTCTGACTACTGACCCAACCTCCTCTAAGTCCCAACTAAAATCCCATCTTCTACAGGAAGTCTTTCCCAGCCCCTCTTCATTTCAATGCTTTCCCTCTGTTAATTATTTATCTTGCATATAGCTCAGTTTGTATATATTTGTTTGCTCGTTGTCTCCCCTATTAGATTGTAAGCTACTTGAGGGCAGGGATTGTCTTTTGCCACTTTTTGTGTGCTTAGCACAGTGCCTGGCACATAGTAGGTGCTTAATAAGTGTTAGTTGAATTGAATTGAATTTCAAAGAGACATGGAAAGACTTTTGTGAACCAATGGAGAGTGGAGTGTGCAGAGTCAGAAGAACAATTTATATGATAACTTAAATATTACAAAAACAAATAATTTTGAAGGCTTTTATAACCTGATAAAGAATGAAAATGAGCAAAACCAGGAGAACAAAATATACAACAACAATGCCGTGCAAACAAACAACTCGGAATCTCGACAAACTGTGATCAACACGATGACCACCATTCTGCAGCCCAGTGGTGAAGGCATGCTGTCCAATACAGGGAGCTGATGGAGTGAGAGTGTAGAATGAGATGCACGCATTTCTGTCTGCAACCAATGAGGAGATCTGTTTCACTTGACTCTACGGACTTGTTGCAAGGACTTTGTTCTTGTTTTTTCCTTTCTCTCTCTTTTTTTCCCAGTGTTGTGGGAAGTGGTAGGGAGACAAAATAGATTTCTGCTAATTAATAAAGCAATTGAAATAGAGAGGTGGGGGTGCTACAGATGTGGAATGTTGCACGCACTTTCAGATGAGGTCATTGTATTGTTAGTTCTGCCTAATTGTTTTGCTTTGTGGTAAAGAAAACTCTCCTGGAGTTGGGGTGATTAGTAAATACAATGTAAAAACAAAACACATCAATAGAACTTTTTGAAAAACACTCCCAAATAGACAGCAAGGCTTGTGCCTGAAGATTCGGGGGTTTAATGAACTTCACATTCTGTGTGAGTCAACAGTGCGTGGTAGCTGCCCAAAAGCTAATTTAGGAGAACAGTGATGGCTGCAATGTCTGTGCACCTGGGAGTTTTGCTTGCATAGGGTTGGGGAGGTGGGCTTATGATGAGAAAAAGGAGCCTGAATTTAATTCTGCTTAATTCAGTGAGCCCACCACTCCAGGAAGGTGTCATTTCCTCTTCTAGAGTGCAAGTTGCCTGAGGGGAGACTGATTCATTTGGTTCTTTTATCACCAGAGCCCAGTTTAGTTCCTGGCACATAGGAGGCAATTAATAAATGCTTGTTGATTGACTGATTTCATCTGGGTTCAAGGCACTGGGCTAGAAGGCAGGAATGGGCAGATCTGACATCAGTCTAGCTTTCAGAGAGCTTACAGTCTAATGAAGGAAAAGGCAGGCCCCAAAATGCATACAATGTAAGGAAAAGTGAAGCCAATGCAAAGAAGACCTTGGTTAGGGCAGAGGGCTAAGAAGAGTGTGATGAGGGAGAAGGCACTTTTATCTGGGAGTAGTCAGGGAAAGCTTCATGGAGGAAACAGCAACTAAGCCTGGATCATAATGGAAGGGAAAGACATTAATAGAGACTGGCATGGGATGTTGCATGAGCCAAGACATAGAGTGGAAGGTTGAGAACAGAGGAAGGAGTACCCCAGTTTGGTCAGCATGTAGACTAGGTGAAGAAGACTAGTTAGTAAGAACTCAGGTTGGACAGGTGAGATGGAGCTCAGTCAGGGGTGGAATCCTTCAATATTTGGGGGAAAAGGGTTTCTAAGCCTGTTTTGTGTCCTGGACCCCTTTTCCAGCAGTCTGGTGGAACCTATGGACCCCTTTCCAGAATCACATTTTTAGAATCATAAATAAAATCCACAGGATGACAAAGGAAACCAGTAGTACTGAAATCCATCCTCTAGATATGAAAACTGTGCTCATGTGTGATCTAGCAGCAGGTCCTGTAACTATAGTAATTTCAAAGCAGCGATGAGCACAATTGATATTTCAACCTTCTGCAACAACTTGAATGTACCATGAAAATACCTGTGCCTTCTCTTGGCAACAAAATTACGTGAGCATTGCAAATACTATTATGGTTGGTTGCCCACATCCCTGATTGAAGGCAATGCTAAATTTCAGTTAAAGGGCAGTGAATACAAAGATGTAATATTTTCCCCACCCCTGCCATGAGCCTGCTGAAATCTCCCCAGAGTCCCCTGTGGCTCCTGGGCTGAAGGAAGGCTGCCTGTCTCTTGTCCCGGCGCTCCCTGCCCACCTTTGACTTATCCAATTAGCATTTCTATCATCCTAGCTAAGAAATGGAGTTAGAATCTCTGGGCAGAGCCTGGATGCTTTGTCTGCACCGGGTTTCTTAGTTACAAGACAGAAATATAAGGTAGAGACTGAATGGTAGCTATATTCTGAGCACTGAGTTAAAAAACCTCCACCGTAAGATGCTACATGAAAAGCCATTTTCATCATCATTAATTATGAGGCAGCAGCAAATGATGCCAGGTAGAATGTGTCACAATTCATATTTTGTATTTAGCTTTATCTTACATAGAAAGAGAGGCACCGCTCTAGTAGGTCCTTGCTCTGCTGGAGAAGAGACATTTTTACATCATGGGGAACTTTTTGGTGCTGTGTGTCAGTCTGTCTGTCGGTCTCTCTGTCTCTTTCTCACTCACTCAAAGGATGATGGGGGTATCCCATTTATCTATTTTTGTTCCTGGATTGTGAAGGTGTGCCCTACAGCAAGGCTTCCTAACCTGGAATCTGTGAACTGAAAAGGTTTTTTTTAAATAACATTTCAGCACGATTCATTTCCTTTGCAATCCCATGTATTTTATTTCATGGGCATTTCAGGGACTGGGGAAGGCTGAGGTGGGAAGGTACTTTGGGAACTTTGTACACTCTCCGAATCCCAGCACACAGGCAGCCCTCTCCTCCATCTGACAGTCAGCGGTGACTTCACTCTGCTCTGAAGTTGGTGATTTCCTATTTCCAGCACTTCTCCCATTCCCCCATCCTCTGCCTTTGAAATGGATGAAGTAATGTTAGTTTAACCAGTCATAACTTTTGGGCACCACTTGAAGTAACCAAACCTTGCATGAGACTGGAAAAAAGAGTAAGAAAAATGTTTATTTGGCTTATAGCCAGTGCTAAGAAGTCCTGATGAAAATGTAGAAAGCTTCTGACTTGGGCAGCATCAGGGAAAACAGATTATTCATTTGATATTTTACTTTACTGGAAGCAAAAGTCAGTAAGTCAACAAACACTGATTAAGCACCTACCGTGTGCCAGGCACTGTGCTAAGCCCCAGGGTTACAAAGAAAGGTAAAAGACAGCCCCTGCCCTCAAGAAGGTCAAACAAACGGGTATAGACAGGATAAATTGGGATTGAGTTTAGAGGGAAAGGGCTAACAGGAAGAGAGCTTTAGTTGAAGGGAAAATGGCCCAGAGAATAAAAATATCTGACACTTACATAGCACTTCACATTTTTTCAAAGTCCTCTACAAATATTATCCAATTAAATCCTCACAACAACCCTGTGAGGTCATGGAATTAGGGTTATATATTTGATAAATGTGGCAACTACAGCTAAGGGACTTGCCCAGTTCATCCAGCTAAGCAAGTGTCTGAGGCAGGATTTGAACTCAGGGCTCCAAGCCTCACACCCAGACACTATTGTTCTCAGCTGCTTCAGAGTCATGACTAGAGTAGGTTGAGGGAGCTCTGCTCCAGGGGCTGAGTTTAGAGGGCACAGTAGCTCTTGGTGTCCTTTCATTATCATGGAACCTTTAGGGCTTAGCACCTTGTTAGCAAGAACAAGTGGAAATAGGAAGCTACCAGATGGCGGACAGGGAGGAAACCTTCTCCTCACTGGGTAAATCCCCTCCCCTCCCCTCCACTCCACTGGGTCCCTCCCAGCTCCCCAGTTTTCTTCTGGCATCCTGGGGTCTCCATCTCACCTCTCTTCCTTCCCCTCCCCATACTACCACCATGTGGTGGAGACCCCTTTCCCAACAAAGAGGCTGCTCTGTGCTAATCACTCTGCCGTTTATCTCGGCTCCCCAAGTTCCTAGTTAGGGGCTGCTCTCAGAGGCCTCACTTGCTTTATCCTAACACAAAACGCACAGATCTTCTTTGGCTAATGCTTCTCTCCTTCGCCACTTCTGTAAGGGCCCAATAAATAATTGTTGGTTGACGGGTCATGACAAGAGATTGAGACTTGGGAGAACTGTTATCTGAGAAAATTCAATTTTGTTTCCCATATCTTAAACCTGTGCATCTTTCTCAATTATGGGCCAAACCGGTTATTAAGGGTGTGTGAATAATTTCTGGCTATAGCTGTAAACAAATCACAAATGATTACAAAGTGATGGCTGGCTGGAAAGAGCTACAGAAAATGTTGTTATTAGCCTGCCTCATTAGATCAGGGATTCTTAGGTGTATGGTTAGGTTTCAGGGGGCTTGTGAACTTGAATGGGGAAAATTTCATTCTTATTTCAGTATAATTGATGTCTTTTGTAATCCTTTGCATTTTATTTTATGCCCTTAAAAGCATTATTCTGAGAGGGGCCCATCGGCTTCACTGAAAGCCCGAGGCTCAAGGCAGGCAGGGTGCTGGAGCCAGCTCTTAACTGCTCTCTCAGGAGAGACAATTGTGAATTTTTCAGTGTGAACATTTGTACCTCATAAGTCAGCAAACTCAACAAGTCAGGGCTTGATTCATTGTTTTGCTGATTGTCTAGACTTGAGAAAGTGATGGAGAATGTTCACAAAGCAACTTAAACTTGAGAGTAGGTCCTGTGTTCATTTCCTGAGTCCCCCTCCCCATGGTTGTTGTTAGACATTCCCCAGAGTCTGGGACACAAGGAAGGCTAAGAACTCCTTGTATCTTTCTTAGGGCTAACATCCCAACAGTGTGAGGCAAAGGGTGACCTTGGAAAGCTGCTCTTACCTGGTCCTCCAAGTCAGACCCTGCATCGATCCCATCTCCGGCATCCACACAGAGGTCGAATTCGCTCGGCCCTAGTCAGGAAAGGAAGAGAGAGGTTAGTGCAGCTTCAGGAACCATCTGTGACCGTGTCTACCTCTGTCCAGATTCTCAAGGTGACGTTTGAGATCACTTTCTGTCTGTGTTTCTATTAAGTCTGGTTGATTGAGGAAAAGCTGCAGAAACTGTCTATGTGAACTGATAGATGAGTATTTGGAGAGAGAATTCCATGAGGGGAGATCCCCCTCCCCTATCCCCCCTCAATAGACCCAGCTTGGTCTGAGGGTAATTCTACAACTGGCACAAGTGGAGAAACCATTTCTACATTTCTGTTTGATGTTGGCTGGTCAGGCTGGGTCGCTACCGCTTCTCTGGGGAGGATGGGAATGCCTCCAACAGCAGTGAAATGGGAAGGGGGAGGAGACCCCATGGAGTCACGTAACAGCTCAGCCAGCTTAGGAACCCACGCTGAAAATGCAACAGGCAGCCTTGCAGCTGAATGAATGGATGAATGGAAAAGCCAATATTAACCACTTCCTGTGTGCCAAGTACTCTGCTAAGCACCAGGAATACAGATACAAAAGCAAGACAATCCCTGCCCTCCATGAGCTTACTGATAATAGGGGAGGGTGGTGGTGTTTGGGAGGGCTTAGCTATAGGGCATGGGGCAAGGCCCAGAGCTCCCTGCAGGAGATGAAGCTTATTTTATGGTGTTAGGGTCCAGACCTGATGAGGTGGATGGCCCTTGCCTAGCCTTGGAGCCCCTAAACGATGGGGCTCCATACTACCTTTGTAGGGCTCTCCTATTGGCCCTCTCCGCCCCCTTATACTCTGGCCAAACCAGACCTCTCTGCCCACTGAACATATATGTTGGCTGTTCCTTATACTTAGGCATGAGTGACTAAAGGATGAAGTATTTAGTAGGCACCTGCTATGTGCCAGGGGCCATGCTAAGTACTGGGGCTACAGAGACAAAAAGACAGTCCCTTCCCCAAGAAGCTCATGTCCCAGTGGCAAAGCCTGGGAAATGATCTGGAGCCTTGCACTCAGCTCTCAGTCTCTGGGGGGTATTCCATGGTCAGAGAAAAGTTTCTGTAGGAGATAGATGAAGACAATGGCTGGAGTTCAGTCAGTCAGTCAAGAAGCATTTATTAAGCACTGATTATGTCCAGGCCCTAGGGATAGGTGAAAAAGAACGATGGGCCCTGCCCCCATGGAGCTTACAGTCTGATTGGGAAGACAATACCCAGAGTTTGGGAATGGCTGGCAAGTGACCTTCCCTCTCTTTGGTGTACTCTCTTTCTCTTTCTCTCTTGAAATCCTACCTATTTTTCAAAGTCCAGTTGAAAGGTCACCTCCTCCCCTGGACCTTCCCTCATCTCCCCAGAAGGTCAGAGTGACTGCCAGGCATGGAGGGAGGGTGCAATGGAAACAGTGGGAGATTTGGGGTCAGAGGACCTGGGGTCAAATGCTGATTCTGCCACTAATCAAGCTACATGGTCTTGGGCAAGTCATCTCACTTCCTTCACCTGTAAAATGAGAGGGTTGGACCAGATCTCAAAGGTCCCTCCAAGTTCTAACTGTGTGATTCTTTGCGCATGACGTCATATGCGCCTTTGCTTTATGATTTTCTAAGGTACTTCATGTGTAATATCCTCTATAACAGCTATCTCTGCCTGTCTCTTCTCCCTCCATTTGATCATGATTCCCATGAGGGCAAGGACTGCATCATATCTACCTTTGCATCATCCCAGATGCCTCGTAGATCTAGCGAGATCTAGCAGATCTGGAAAGGGCCCAGTCCAGTGCCTGACATTAAAAAATGCTTGGCTCTTTCCCTTCCTTAGTACGGTGCTCTGCACACAGTTGGTGCTTAATAAATGTCACAAATTAAACATTGTAGTTCTGGACTCTGCCCACCACACTGTCTAGAGGTTGACTTCTTTTGGTGTTTTCTTAATGAGGCTAATTTTCTCAGTTTTTGTGTCAGGGAGAGTTCACATTTAGCCCAAATTTCTCATTCTGGCCCCTTGGAATGAGCTGCTCATGACCTGGGAGAGTCAAATTTGCTTATTCCCAGGGTGAAGGGTACCTTGATCTCCAAGCTATGGGTTGAACCTGGGCTGAATGAATGTGTTAATACTGATAGAGCCATAACCAGAGTGGAATGGCTAGTTCTTTGTTCTAGAGTGACCTTGCTATCAGCCCTCCCAGGCAGAAACAACTGCGCTGAACTCCTATTTAGCAAGGATGATTAACCCAGTCTCCACCTCTGTGGGCCTCTCCCCGCCTCAGCCCTGCCTGCTCCCCCCTCCAGCACTGAGGGGCCTCCTACTTTCCCAGAGTCTCTGTCTCCTCCAGGCACCCCCACCCTTGGCCCCCAAGGGATCTTGGGTCCTGAGAGCTGAAGCATCTCCCTTCCCCCACTGGATCATTTTTGTCCCAGAATAAAGATTCTTAGTTATTTACCCAGGGTTTCAGGCTACATTAACCTGCTTGTGACAATCCTCCAGGACCAAATTGAAACTGTAATTTTCATAATGAGACCTCTGTGGTACAACTGATTAATCATCGTTAATAAGCCTAGCCTGCAGAGAGCAATAGCTCACCTAGTTAGTCAAGAAGAGAGAATTAGAAATGGGGGCTGCCCAGGCCAGGCCAGGCCAGGCCAGGGACCTTGTTAAGAACTGAGCCAGGGCAGGTCTGAGACTTGCGATCACTGGAAAATAAGTAGCATTGACAGACGATTTGATGGGAAGAAGGTGAAGTTCCTGGTTCTCCTCCAACGGACCTTCTCTGGGAGGCTGCCTTGAGAATTCCCGCACTCTGTGCAAGAATCCTCCTTGTCTTTCCTACATTTTCTGCAGGCCTGATTTAAAGTACTGACTACTTTGCAAGGCACCAGCTAGGCACTGGGGAAAACAAGATGAGCATGTGAGTCCTGTGCCCCTGATGAGCCAATTCCTGCATGCAGAGATGAGGAGGGGGCTGGACTTGGGAGCTCCCTCCATGAGGCAGCTTGGCCCCTTCTCTGCAATTTACAGTCATGGGAGCTGCCTAGGGTCACAAGATGTGCCAGTGTGTCGGGGAAGTACTGGGGTTGGAGTCTTCCTGACTCTGAGGCAGGCTTCCCTCTAGGTCTCCTGAATCTCCATGTTGTCAACCCTACAATTCAGGGCTTGACTTATGTTAATTGTCTAGACTTGAGAAAGTTGTGGAGAACAGGTGAATTTGGTAAATTAAGCTAAAAAGTGTGTTGTGGGGCTTTTTGGGGGTGTGTGTGCAGAGAGAGAGCTGGTTGTTAAACATTTACAGCACATTCCTGCTCAGAAGCCAGCTGTCTCCATTAGGCCATGGCATGCTTGCACTAACAGGTTTTTTTAGGGGGGGGTTGGGGGAGAAGGGTCAAGGAAAGTTTCATGGAGGATGCAGCACCTGAGCTCAGCCCTGAAGGAAGCTAAATTAAAGATTCTGAGAATCAGAGATGAGGAGGGAGTGCCTGGTGGCTGGCTGTATGAATGTATGGCAATGGGAAATGCCATGTTGAGTACAGGCAACAGCTAGTAATCTCATCTGTCTGGAATGCAGAGAACACGACAGAGAGGAATATGAAATGATATTAGATTGTGAGGGTCCTCAAAAGCCTGGGTGCATATTTATACTTGATTCTAGATGTAACAGGGACCTGCTAATGGTCTTTGAGCAGTCAATAGTCAAGAAACAATTATTAAGCACCTACTGTGTGCCAGGCACTGTGTGCTACTGCTTTACAATTATTATCTCATTTGATCCTCACAACAGCCCTGAGAGGTGGATGCTATTGTTATCATCATTTTACAGATGGGGAAACTGAGGAACACAGAAGTGAAGTGACTTGTCCAGGGTTGCATTTGCAGTAGTAGGAGTAGTAGTAGTAGTAGTAGTGGTAGTAGTAGCAGTAGTGGTAATAGTAGTAATTGTAGTAGCCCTACTAGTAGTACTAATAACAATAATGGCTAACATTTATATAGTGCTTACTACGTGCCTGGCACTGTGTGCTGGAAGCACTTTAACAATATTATCACCTTTGATCCTCACAACAGCCCTGGGAGGTGGGTGCTATTAGTATTCCCATTTTACAGATGAGAAAGTGAATCCAACAGAAACTGTATTTCCCAGGGTCATAGAGTTAGTAAAGGCCTGAAGTCAGATTTGAACTCAGCTCTTTCTGCCCCAGGCAATAACACCTAAGAAAGGCACAGGAAACCTAGATTGATGTTGGCTTGTGTCAGACTGGCCTGTGGAACTTTGTTTTGGCAGCAGATAGATGGGGGACAGATAAGCAGGGAGACCATTTAGGAGGGCATAGCTGTGTGAGGGGAGGTCCAGTGACAAGGAACTCAATCCAATAATCCAAGGTCCTTGGGATCTCCTCAGTTCGGACAGTCCCTCCCCAGATGCTGATTGCCACTTGTCCTGTGTGACTGTTGTCCCATCTCTCAGAACCTTGGTACAAGGAGTCCACCCACTGTGTGGAAGGCTTTCCTCAAGTGTTCCCTATCCTGATTAATGAGGACCACACAGCTCTCCAGTAGGCATTCCCTCCTGCTTGCCCACCTTCTCTTCCCATTTACCATTGTCCTTTCCCTTCCTAATCCCTTCTCCTTAACCCAGGGGGAGATTTGGCACTAACAAAACTTCTGCATTTTTGATGGGTCCATGCAATGAGACTTATGTGAAAATTGCCAGGGGCATTCACAGTTGGACCGCTGACTCACCCAAACCACCGCAGATATGGCCTGATCCTATTTTAAACTAAAGTGCAGCCTAGAGTTTTTTCATGTGTCTGTCTGACCTGAAATCTTGTAGAAAGGTCAGTTGGGGTCTCTGGACCATATGGGCTAGGACAGAAAAGGCCTGAGTCGAAGATGACTTTAGCACAGACATTCCTAAAGTGGTCAATACCACCCCCTGGATGTGGGGTGCTGGAACGAGGAGGGATGTAGTAGCCTTGGGTACAATTGAGGGGCATTGAATCAAAATAAGGGGGTGGTGG